CCCACACAACATTATCACCAATTAAATTAATCAATTCCCATAATTATCAAAAAGACATTCTAATTACATAAATTAAATAAAAAATTGAATTGAAAAATTAAATTAAATTAATTTCCCATAAATTTTCATGACTGTCACGCGGTGTTCGTTTAAAAAAATTTCTAAAGTATTGAGTAAAAGTATAAACAAATATCGGAGTAAAGAAAAAGCGTGAAAAATTAAAATAAAACGGGGAAAAGGAGGAGGAGGAGGAGGAGGAGGAGGTGGTGGTTGTGGCTGGAGCTGGAGGAATGGACTGACACGTCGTACTCAGTGATCTGTTATATGGGTTGGGGAAGGATTGGTGTGTACAAGTGGATACGGACGCACTTGTCAAGACTGTAAAAGTAGGTACCTTATAACGTATATACAGGGTAAGTACATCGGTGGATCGAGTACTGCCCACGTCCGGGATACCCGCGTACCGCTTGAATATTAGCATATAAATTATGTTATCGTGATTTATGCTCGAGGCTTTTGCGAGTTAAACTCAGTGTGCGTTGTGTTACGGTTGTATCGAGTGGATAAGGGGGTTGGCTTGAATGTTGATTGAACTACGGGTGGGTTATAGGAGTTTGAGATAAGACTGTGTAAGAGATGTCTGGGTGCGATGGGGGGTACCCCAAGGCTACTGAGATCACCAGTGACGAATGCTCGACAAGTCAGTCCATCATCGCCACTCTTTATCATTACCAACTATTTCAATTGCCAATGTCTTTTACACTTGGCTGCACAATCACTTAATGATCGGAGGTGACTCCCTCGATGGATATACTCTTTTATTATTTATTTTACATGCCTCCCTCGTTGAAAATTATTATTAATTAGATTTTTAACGAGAATTTATTTTTGGATTAAACTTTCAACCGAAAAGTAACCGGTGAAAAATTAATCTGTCAATTTACCATTGCGTAAATTATCCACAACCTTCTTCTATCTGTCAATAATTTTTCACCGTGAAAAATGTTATTCGACACGAATCGTTCACATCATCACCACTGCCTCTCAACAATGAAGTTGAATTTAACAAAGCGTTTCTTGCGGTTCAGCGAATGAAACATTAATTTCCAGTCGTCGTATTAAACAAATTGTTCCGTCCCGGTGGGAATAGCCTAACGGTGTGTGCAATAAATTATTCCGGTAAATAAGATTTTCATTTTCAAAATTAAAGCATTGAAATGACTCAATCATATTACACGGAATTAGTGGTATTGGGGAGAGAGAGAAAGGGGAGCGGGGAGTTGTTACATTTTAACGACGCTGTAAAATTCAGAGATGGTTAAATTAATGTCTTATAATTCCCCATGGAGTTACACATGAAAGTAGACGTTTACGATTGAGGTAATAATGTAAATGAAAATATAATTCCGTCTCACGTGTGCTCTCAGGTTTTTCGATGCTGTTTAAAAGGTAATCGTGCGCGTGAAAGAACGTTGAGTGCATATTGCATAATAATTAGGAGTCGGCGGCAACGACCGTGTGGTATTTGTACGTCTGTGTGATGTACTGAGCAAGTTCATTGCCAGTTACACACGGTGAAAATTCAGTCTGCCAGGGTACACCTCGTGAATATATCGACTGAGTGATATATTGCAGCCTCCACGAGGTACCGGTATTCCAATGGCGTTTTTATGGAAATTTTTCGTTCATTGTCAATCGTACGAACCAACTCCTCGGAACCTATTCCAAGAAAAAATTATTTCACGGGATGAAATTAGAAATTTTTATAGCCATTTTAATCGTGAGGACAGTCCTCAGAGATTTACAAAAAATTTCATCGCTAAAAAATTTCTATATCTCTGAAATTTCGTGATATTATAAAAAATTTCAAAAGCGTAAATTCCATTTTAAAATCTCGTGTGCTACGGGAATATTTCTCTATGGGTTGTCAGACTCGGGATTGGGGATTTCTTCACTCCATAAATGTCAAAAACACTTGGTATCGAATCGATCGGTTGGAAATCGCCCACGCATGTGCAGGAGTCAGTGTAAAGAAAGTAACTCCTCGAAAGACAGCAATCGATCCCAGAAACTTGCCATTTTCCCCAACTCTGCTCCTGACAGCATTTGAAATATACCTGTTTACCCCACGTCTGCAGTCAGCATTACCCTTTCAATGAAGCCCAAGTCTCCCCCAATAAATAAATTTAAAAAAAAAACGAGCTGCCCATTAGCTGGAAAAATCGGCGTCATTGGTACTCAGCATTCGCGAGAATTGACGAAATATTTCTGTCAACTGCACTCAAATTCCATGACGAGAAAAAAAGGGGAAGCCCATTCAAGCGAGCATTTCCAAGTCATCAGAAATGCTGCACTTGTCGGTAAATAAAGAGGGGAAACCCACAGAATTGCCCAATCAAACTGAATTCCTATATTTTCATTTTGTGAAACGAGTAACTCGACGATATTTCCCTCTGGGCACAGTTTTTCTTCACGGTAAAGTGCTTTTGCAATAATCCCTCGGGGTTGTGGACACATCAAGAGTCTGGAGACGTCGAGTTCCTAGGGCTAAAGGAGAAAAAAAAAAATGTAGACTCCCTGGGGATTGACTGTGCGGCTCGAGATCCATTGAATGATACAGAATGTTCCAACAAACAGCCCAATGTCCTCAAGTTTTTGGTAGAATTCATTTTTTTTTTTT